TGTGGTTTATATTCGTATTGTGAATCTTGAAATTGTTTGTTTTTCCCCTCTTAAGACACATATAAGTGCGCATACACATGTAAGTATGCATACACACACATACAAATGCATATATATACACATCAAGCTTTTCCGTCTCCCTAGCAGCCACTTAGGGTTTACATCTGACAACTTTCTCGCCTGTATTTCGTATCCTAAATAACCACATCAATTTTCTAACACAAGTCCCACAAAAGATCACAGTCATTTCACACAACGGATTCTTTGTCGCCTTTATGCATGGATTTAATTGTCCAATTATCTGTCAAGGTCGGTGATTGTTAAAGAAAGCAGGTAAGATTTTTGCATGCACCGGTGAATTAATATTTATCAAAGGGAGATCGTTTATTTGAACCTTATCATTAGAGTAGGTGTTATGCTCTGACATAATTATGTTGTGTTCAATTAACTGATTATCTACCCAAGTTGATGGATCTCATACCCAGCTAAATAATTATTCTTAATCCGTATCAATAGTTTTGTGTCTTTATTAGTGATTTTAGTTAATGATAAATGCATTCTGTCTCCCAGTCAATCGATTGTATGCCACAGTAATTAGTTTTTTGTGTCCTAATGGAAAGATTTAACAGCCTTGTAAAAAAATAAATAAAAAAATGCTCTAGTGAATCGATTTTGTGCAGTAGTAGATAGCCACTAAATTGGCCTTGTGACTTGTTCTGTGTTCTAGAAAAAATGATTTTGTGAACGAGTGAAAATATCATCCGGCCTAATCATTTACTTTTGTGCCGTGTGCTTTGTAAGCTGGTAAAAGGATTTTTGTGCCCGAAATAACAGATTTTGTGAAACAGCTGATAGTGTAGATTTTGTGTGCCAATAATAAAAAAAAATTGTTTACTAAATTCATTTTGTGGTCCAGTACATATATTATAAATGCATTGTTTTTGATAGTTAATCTAATTAGTGAACTGGTAGATATATTCCGTGCTCCAATGGATAGATTTTGTACCCTAGCGAATAGATTTTGTAGATTACTATAATTTTCTGTACTAAGAAGACTATGATTTGTCTTGGTAACGGGTTGCGTGTGCGCCAGTGAATAGATTTGTTTCTTAGGGAGCAGATCTTCTGCCCAATGAATTAATCTTGCCCCAAGTGTGTTCCTTGGCGCAAGATTAAATCAAATCTGCGCCGAAGTAGATTAATTATTTGTTCAAGTAACCCAATTTCGCGCCCAAATAAATCGATATCGCGCCCGAGTCAATTAAATTGGGGCCCATAAACCAAGCACGCCAGGTTCATTAATTTTGGGTACCAGTGAATATACTTTACGCCCGGCTAAATAGAATTTGCTCCCAAACACATTAATTCTGCGTCAAAGTAAAGTGATTTTTCGAGTTAGTAAATTATAATTCTCCGCCCTAATGAATCAATATTGTGCCCCTGCCGTTGATTTTGTGACCCAATAAATAAATTGTATCCTTGTAACCAAAGTTTATGAAGTAGCAAAGATATACACTAATTAATCAATAATTAATTAATAATTAATAATAATTAATTAATTAATAGCAAAGGGATACACTTCCTAGTAAACAGATTCTCAGACTAAGTAAAAAGATTTCCTGGTACAATAAATCGACACATGTCTCCTATCATGATGAACTATGGCGAATACCCACGTACTGCATAATACTGAATCAAAAATGAAATGATAATATTGATAATACTTTTATTCTCTTTTTTTCCTATAAACAAAATTCTATTGAGATGAGTCCTCAGATCTGTGTAACGTTATATCAATATTCAACTACAAACAAACTTACAACTTCCTATATATAAAAAAAAATCTAGGAATTCATCTGTTCAATCAAATACTTCTGCTCCCTTCTTGCTGATCTAACTGAAATTTCTGTTGTTTATTTCTTATTACAAGAGAGTCTAAAGTCGTAGCCATTTGCACGGATTATGCATGTATCTCCCAAACTTTCTGAGCATGGGCTTCGTTTTCTTTTCGTATTCGTTTTCTATATACTGGGGTAACTATTGTATAATATTAGTTCTTTCAAATTTACGTTTCTCGAGGTTTAATGATTATTAGGACTGTGATGATGGTGGTGATAATGATACTACCAACAGGCTAATGACAATTGATAGAAATAATGTGACGTAGAGTGATGTTGCTAATGATACTGTAATATCAATGCTGATAATGATAATTGTAATAATAATTGTACTAGTAGCTTTAATAACTTTAGTAATAATAACAATAATAACACTAATCAGAATAATATTAACAATAAAGGTAATAAACACAGTAATAATAATAACAATAACGATATTAATAACAACTATATTAATAAATAATAATAATGATAATTATGATCATAACAATAACAGTGACAATATCAATAATAATGATAATGATAATGATAATAATAATAATAATAATATCAATATTACTACTAATAATACTAATGATAAAATTATATTAATAAAAATAATACACAAAAATTATAAACATAAATCAATCACATTAATAACAATGTGATAACAAAAAAAAAAATAATAATAATGACCGCAACAACAATAATAATAATGATGATAATGATAATAGTATGATAAAAAAATGATACTAATAATGATAATAATAATGATAATAATAACAAATAATAATGATAATAATAATAAGATGATATATAATAGCAATGATGAATGATATGATGATGAAATATGATAATAACAATGATGATGATGATAATGATAATGATTATCATTATTATCAGTATCATCATCATAATCATCATCATCATCATCAATATTATCATTATAATGATTATTATTATTACTATTATTACCATTATCCTTGTTTTTATTTTCTTTATAATCTTTATTATAATAATAAAGATAATAATATAATAATAATATAATAATAATAATAATAATAATGATTATGATGAAATAAAAGTAATAATAGTAGATGATGATAATGAATAATAATATGATAATGATAATAATGATAATAATAATTTATAATGATGATAAATAATGAAAAATATTATAACAACAATAATCATTAATCGAAATCATAATCATGCCCATAATAATAGTACAAATAATAATGATAAAGTAATAGTAAGGGCAATACTAATGACATATAATAATAAGTAATAATGCTAAAATATAAAAAATAATAATAATAATAACAACAACAGCAACAACAATAGTAATAATCATAATATAATAATAATAATATAATAATAATGATTAAAAATAATATAATAATGACAACAATATCAAACACACCAACACCAACAAGAAAACAATAATAAAGACAACAACTCCAACAACCCCATTATAAACAGTAAACAAACACTACCAAAAGACCCCCACCCCACCTCCCCCCCCCTCCCTCCAACCCAAGAAGCCGCCCCCCCAAAACCCCCCTTTTATATAACGGGCTCCTTGTATGCGTTGCAGGTCCAGCATATCGTGGAACACACCGATGGGGAGAAGAGACTGACGGGGAAGACCCATGATTACGTCAGCATTTAAGCTTCCGAGGGGGCAGAGAGACTGGCCTGAGGAGGAGCTCTGAACAACACTTGATTGAGTGAGAGGGACGAGGAGAAGAGAAGATGGAAGAGAGAAGAGAGAAGATGGAAGAGAGAAGAGAGAAGAGAGACTGAGAGAGAGAAGAGAGAAGAGAAGACTGAAGAGAGAGAAGAGAGAAAAGAGAAGACTGAAGAGCGAGAAGAGAGAGCGTTTAGGCAGAAAGAAGAGAGCAATTTGGAGAAAAATATAGAGATGGAAGGAATGGATGGAATTAGACGAGAAGAACAGGGAATATGACAATTAAGGGAAAAACCCTATGGGTTCGTGATGTAGTTGGTTCAGTGGTTGTTAAATAAAGAGTCATAATTAAGTCCTCCCTTCCCGTTTTCTCTATTTTTTTGCGTGGCAGTGTGTACGCACCTCATAAAGGCAAGGGGAGACTTCGCTATGTAGTTAGCCATCATATGAATCGAAGCAGGGATTAACTTCTAGTTCCTTAGCTAGTTCTTAGTCGTTTAAGTAGGAGCTTCAAGACCGTGGGTCCTCTTTGGAGCTCTCGAGGAAGACCTCCGGGCCGGTAGAGCTTGAGGACCAAGGAGAAGGTCCCAAGCTCTGACCTCCCTCTCAAGGGCAAGCTCGCCAGCTCTCCCTCAAGCAAGTGCTGTTCAAGGATCTCGTCGGTGAACGTCTCTGAAGACTCCAGGAAGGCGAGACAAGTCTTATTAGATTAATAATCAATTAAACAAGGTGTGAGCCGGTTTAGTCACCTGGGAATTAGGAAACCGATTTTTTGCATTTATTTAGCCCTGTGTCTCTTGAGATTATATATGTGAGTCTGATTGTGCTGATGCTTTTAGGCATCCGTCTATATAATGCAGGTTACCAATCACATATCATTCTTAATAACGTATCTAATCTCTTTAAGGAAATCTCTTAGATCGGAAGATGTCAGAAACTGATTTAGGACATAGTCTAGAGACCTATAACCAACGGACGATCCATATTTCGCTCTATAAGGCACTTCGATTCAGTGTTGGGTTTTTCTCCTTAGGTTCCAACCCCAAGCCCATGCCAGCTATGAGCCCAGGATTCACGTACTTATCGGCCCCGCCAAGTCGTGTAGGAGCGGGACCCTCCGTCGCGACAATGAGAGACCCTCCTTCCCTCCCTGATTCTTCCCTCCTTCCCCCTTCCTCCTCACTACGTCCTCCCTCCTTCGTTTCCTCCCTTCCTGTATTCACCCCAGCCCTCTATTTTTGTTTTCTTCCTCCATTCCTATTTTCCTTCCCTTCTCCATCCCGGTCCTCTCTCTTTTCCTTCTTCCTATCCTTTCCTCCTCTCCATCCCTCTTCCTGTTTTATCTCCGTTTCCCTCCTCCTATCCCTCCACCTCATCCTCCTAGCTACTTCAGAGGAACCATGGGACTGGGTGTTGGCTCCTGCAAGAGTTAT